TATTAAAAAAAAATGCTTAATTAAAATATAATATATACACATTAGTTTTTATATAATAATAAAAAATATACACAAATAGCATTTACTTTATTAAAAAAATAATGTACATAAATTATGATATATTGTATTATTGCATTCCTATTATATATTATAAAAGTGTAATAGTATCCTAATACCGAGATAATAATTGATAAAATGAAAATATTTAAATCAAATATAAATAAATTAAATATACGCACAAGCATGACATAGTAACCGTATGTTTTGAACTAAAGTATTTTTTAGATATGCGAATGCACATATATATTCATTGTAATTAAGGACATAAAATAAATAATTTATAATTAAAGTATTTAATATATTACATATAAAATTTAATCTATTATATGAATTGGCAATATTATAAAAGTGGTTTTATAGATATAACTTTATTACTAATATAGTATTTTTTAAAATTTTATCATATATATAGAACTATATAAATTTATTTTTCATATTATTATATGCTTTATAAATAACAAAATGCTGCCTTGAATGAATAATACTAACACTCTTATAAATGAATAATTAATTTAATAAATGTGTTAATTTAATGTAATATATGTATAATTAAATAACATCTTATGTGTTATTACATATGATGTGAATATAATATTTACCCTGATATTATTAACAAATAAAAATTTAATATTTAAAGTGTAGAATATATTTATTTTTTTTAGAAATTTCATAAATTATGACGAGTGACACTATATCAGAGGATAAAGACGTATAATTTAAGTGTTTAATAATATAAAGCTTTATAAACATAGTTTCAAAATATCTTATTTATCAAAAAAGAAAGTCAATTTTTTTTCTTTATATTTTTATAATTTTTGTGCATATTATGACTTTTATATTTAGTTCGATTTTAATGGTATATTTCCCGTATGTACAGATGGTTTTAACTGGGATAAAGAAGCATATAGGGGAGAACCCGACGCTAATAAATTCACAAGTTTGTGTAGTGGTTTTTATATACAAGAAAGCAAAGGTAATAGGTCTACAGATTTCTCTAAATTGTGTAGAGTTCTTGCTCTATATTTAAAATATATAGGAGCCAAAGAAGAATATGTAAGAAAAAATTGTTGTAAATTATTCTATTATAAACTGAAAAAAGATATAATAGATATATTTTTAAAAAATGAATATCCTGAAGCTAATGTTTGTTATCAGAAAATGATTGACTACAGAAAAAATGGTTTAGATATACAAATATCTAATATTTGTAAGGATGATTTTGTAAATATTGATGTTGACTCATGTAAAATAATGGAAAATCTTTTTGAAATATATAACTATATAAATCTTTTTAAATCTAATTCATATCAGAGGACCACTCAAAAAATGCGTGATTTTATGAGTTGCATAAAAAAATTAGAAACACATTCTGATAAGTATAAAAACAGACTTAAGGAGGAACTCGATAAAATTATTAAAATATGTGTACAGTATAGAAATAATTGGGAGGGATGGCACAAGTCTGCCTCAGATCTCCTAACTGAGAGCTGGATAGAAAAAAGAAGAATATATTTCAATGGGGAAGCTGCAAAAACAAAGAGTATTCATGTACAGACACAGACATTGGAATCTACAGTATTTGATTCTCAAGCTTCAATGAGCACTGATACAGGAGGAGAAACTAGCACAGGAATAAATATTGGAATGGTTTTTATAACCTTTTCGATATTTATAATGATTATTATTTTGTATAAAGTTAAAAACAAAATCAACATAACAATTTTATGTTGTATTATAATTTATCATAGTATTATTATTAAAAAATTCATATAATATAAAAGATCAATAAATAAAAATATTATTTAATTTTTTTTTTAGTATACGCCTTATTTTTCATTTTTAAAACCAAGGGTACGGAAAATAAGAAGAAGGTTAAATAAAAATAACAAAAATAATCTGGACTTAATGTATTCATTTGATGTTGAATACAAAAATTTAATTCACGATAGGTATAATATGGCATATAAATGAACTATCTATGACAAATAAATGAATAATTTTAGTTACAGGAATCAATTTATTTTGCATTAATAATCACAAAATAGCATTTGAATTCTTGTAGAAAATAAACTTAATTATATTAGTATGAAAATATAATGATAAAACAATAAGGAATGTTTATAATACCTAATAGCATATCATAATATATTTATGTTCAATTATGAATTATTACTCAAATGAAAGAATAAACATATTTACTATATAAAAATAGAATAATTTATACATATATATGTTTTTGTCCAATTTATTGTAATCACAGCACATTATAATAATTTAATTGGAGATACAAGCATTATATGATAAACTAATACTAATACCTTCACAAGAAAACATTAGTTGTTAAAAAAAAAATTATACTATATCATTAGAAAATCATTTATCTGTTTATAAATATTTATATAATAAATTAGTTCCGTAATATTAAAATGAGAATATTAGGAGAGATATACTTTCTTATTGGAGAAATCATATGTATTTTCCTTGTGGAAGCATTATATTGACATTCAGTACTTTTATCCAATCAATATAATGTAATCAAAAGAAGAATGAAAAAAGAAAAATATTTAACCATATAAATAACATTCTAATATCTAGAAAAATACATTTTCCAAAAAAGGTTGTATATATAAATAAATTAAGATAGAACTAGTATATATGGATATGCAAAATTATTACAATATAACAAGGATACATATATTTTTAATGTTATAAAAAATATATTTTTTAATTTATTCAAAAATAAATAAGGAGTCATAATTGTAAAATATTAGAATTGAAAAAAAATTTTAAAAAAATTTAAATTAACTACATATATATTTATTCTATCGATTATCATTAAACATACTTTTTGGATTTAGTATATATCTACAAGGATCCTTTAGAAAATTATGAAAAAAAAGTAAGATACATTAGTGTCGAATATTAATTTATATCTTTTTAAAAATATATTTCTATATATATTATTAATATATTTGTAATTTTTTTTTTTAAGGACATTTTATAAAATTATTAATAATGTATATATTGTACATAAAATATGACATTATTGAACACTAAATACACATATGACAATTTTATTTTATTCACTAACAATATCGTTTAATATGATTAAATTATATTATTTTTATGGCAGAATAATTTTTACTATAATATTGTTTGAAATACACTAAAAACTATTAAATATATTATTAGAAATATATATTTTTTTATTATTTATGCTAATTATAGTTAACGTTAAATTTTGCATTCAAAAAGTATATGTGTTATAATATGTGTGAAATTAAAAACAACATATACATCTCTTAATTTCATAGTAATATACTATTACTCATGTATAATTATGTTCAAATAAGAATTAATGAATCAAATGTAAAAAAGAGATTTTAATAAAATTTTTATTATACATAAATAATATAAACAATTAACTTGCTTAATTTTGAAAATATAAAAGAAAGAAATATAAAATATAAAAAAAAAATTTCATTCATGCAATAATTAGGCATAAAAAATCATTATTGTCATATATATTTCATTTAAATGATGTTAAAGAATTACTCAAATATTTATAAGAAAAATATATAATTTTGAATAAGTTCCCACGTCATTCCCTAATCGTAATTATTTTTCATTTCAAAAAAGAAGAATACAGTTATCATTAATATGCTNNATTATATTTATATAAATAACATTATTATATTTTAATTCGCATATATGAAAATGTGCAAACAAAAAACAGTATAAATTATACATTAAAATAAAAAACAAATATGTAGTATATTCTATACATATATGCATGGTTAACGCTTAATGTAAAAATATAACCAAAAAAATTGTATGAAAGTAACATATGTAGTAAAATAGGTTTAATTAATGAAAGAAAAAATAATTAAGACACAATTAATAAGTAATAATTTATGTCTGTAAATATATTTATAAAACAGATATGTAATTTAGTTTCACGTGTATATATTATAAGCATACATCCCCATAATATGCTTGTATCAAGAAGTGTAATAGTACCAAGAAAAACAAATCATAGTAAAAATAATGCATCATGTATATTTAATATGTGGAAGTACAGTTAAAATTATTATAATTTCATAAAATATAATAGTGCATATGTAAATAATTATAATTTAAATAAAAATATAATATCAATTTGTTATATTAAAACATATCTTACTTTGTTAGCAAATGAATCACATGACTAATATATGTAAAACATAACTTTTGATGTCTTAAGTATACATTTTACATGATGGATACACTATATTGTGCATGGAAATGACGAAATATATTTACAGAATTATTATTTATTATTTATGTGTTTATCAGTTATAATTTTGTATATTTTTATTATATGTTGTAATAATATCTTATTAATTTGTCTAATTAAGATTTATATGTATTATGTTGTAAGAATTTTTTCTTTTCTATAAGATATTATTAATAAAAACATACTCTATATTATTTCTCACAACACCGTATGTGAATTTTAAGCAAAATATATTCTTCAAGCTACAAAATTATTAGTGAAATTAATCTGAGCTATATAATATACTATAACTTCTATTCCTTGAAAAACTACTTGACATTTGAGATTGTTGCAGCATATTCCGCTCATTATATAAATTATCCTTAATTTTTTTTTTTATTATTATTCTATTACGCATACATGATCCCAAAATGGTGAATTAATATGTAATATAAAATATTTATACATTAAAAATGTAATTGCTTGCGACAAAATATATATATTACTAAAATTATTCATATTATTTGTTTTATAGACTAGGAATATCTATATTATAAATAACCTTATACATAATAAATATAAAAAGGATCATTATTAATGCTGCAACAATTGGTCTAATGATACGAACTTTTATGTTATATATATGGAATAAAGGCAAAATTTTCGGTATAGCATTACAAGAAGTTTAATTTCCCATGTACTTATTATATTCTTCTATATAATTTTTTAAAGCATTACAAAAATTTTTGTCCTTGTTTGATTTACATATATCCTTGTATTTATTATATATCTCATAGCATTCCTTGTCACATGTGCATTTAACTTCATTGCAAGATTAATTAAAATTTTTTATATTATTAAGATGGCTTTTCATAACATATATATCTTTGAGTTTTTCTAATACATCTTCTGTAAAATTTTCTTTAAAATAATCGCATATAGGCACGATGTATTTATTATATGCATGTAGAAACCCATGATAGTGCTTTTTTATATAATGTATTCTGTTTTATTTTTATAATATTTATCATATGTCCAATAAAACAATTATATACAAGTTTCATATTTAATACTTTCATCATTTTTTTTTGATCATATAAACAGTCAATAATCATTGGACAAGTTT